TCAAACACTTTGCCGCCACGGCCTGGATTCGATTCCACGACATTCTGGTGAGCAGCTCAGTCCCCTCCATCCGCCTACCACTGGACCACCATGGCGGGTGAATATAGAAAACTAGTTATATAAAAACCACGACGTGGTTCTATCGCTAATGCGAAGTCTTCTATATTACACCAGTAGCCTGCATGTGACGTACAGACGCAGCTTTTTAAGCACTAGTACTATAGCATGGCGGTTACACTGACGTCAACGCAGCGTACTCACTGTTGAGGTTAGCCTATTTCAATCATAGAGTTTCATAGAGTGCGCAGATCGCCAACCAAGCCACTCGTCCAGATTCTCCAGTGAGAGGTGACGTCCCCCGTTCCCATGACTACCACATGAACCTCCCTTTTACAATGGAGGAGCTCGAGGCGGCACTAGCTCTCTGCAGGCGTTCAACTTCTCCGGGCCCAGATGGTATTCCGTACCGAGCCTTGTGCAACCTTATGGAAGGTGCAAGTAGAGAACTGTTGAGCCTCTACAACATCACGTGGCAGGATGGCAATGTTCCTGATGACTAGAAAGTAACGCGCTTGTTACCCATCTTAAAGCAGGGCAAATCCCCACTCGAACTCACCTCATACCGCCCAATAGCACTGGCCAGCTGCGTAGGGAAGATAATAGAACGGCTGAGACTAGGCCGTCTGGAGTGGTATCTTGAATACTACAAGATTTATCCGAATTCAATGGCTGGTTTTCGACGCGACCACTCTTCTATTGACAATGTCGTTGATCTAGTTTCGTACGTTTAGCACGAAAGATCCCGTAAGCGACTATCTGCAGCTTTGTTTCTAGATGTGAAAGGTGCTTATGATAATGTACTACATGAAGCCATTTTGGGTGAGTGTGGTAGTTGGCCTTGGTGGTCGAGTATTTCAGTGGATTTCGAGTTACCTGACTGCAAGATCATTCTTTGTGTTAACAGAAGATGGCCCAACTACGAGACGCTATACTTCAAGGGGTGTTCCTCAAGGTAGAGTTTTTAGCCCGACGCTGTTCAATCTTGCACTAATTGGCCTTGCTGAATACTTGCCAAGCACCATTAAATCTCAATACACGCAGACGACATCTGTGTCTGGACTTCGGCAGTAACACGTCCTCAGATACGTTCCCGGCTTCAAAAAGCATCAACTATGATTGCCAACTACTTGTTAAAACAAGGTCTCAGCATATCACCAGAAAAATGCGTGCTGGTTGCCTTCACTCGCAAAGCAATGACCCCTCATGTCATTTCAATCTGCGGGCGACTGATTTTTTACGCCAGAACCCACCGGTTTCTTGGCATCCTTATTGATAAGGACCTCTGTTGGAGTCCGCATGTGGCCCATATGATGAAGCGCCTGACCGCTATTCCCCAATCGTTCAAGTTCCAGGCAGGAAAGACGTGGGGAATGTCAGCAGACGCGATGATGTAACTCTACAGAGCCCTGTTTCTCGGTTTTCTGAGATATAGCTTGCCCGTGCTTAGCAATACCTGCAAGACCAATGTTCGTGTTCTACAGGCAGTACAAGCCCAAGCACAGAGAGTGTGCCTCGGTCTGCCCAGATGTACGTCAACGGAAGCCACAATTGCGATTGCTCTTATTCGACCCACAGTGCATCGTAGTGTACCAGGGATCTGGAGGAAATCTGAGCTTTCGTCGCCCGTGCTGAAATCCTGTCTCTTCTTCTTTTGCACGAGAAATATTCAGACAGCATACATGTATACAACGACGGTTCCACGAACCGCCAGTGTTCGTCAGGGGCAGTAGTTGTCCCAGCAAGAAGTGTTACCATCAGCTTTAAGACTGACCACTCCACGGCATCTACAGCAGCGGAACTAGCTGCTTTGCGCGCTGCACTCTGTGTGGTCAATCGGGAACCACCGCAATAATGATCGATTTTCAGCGACTCAAGGGCTGCCCTACAATCTGTGCTCTCAGCACTGCGTCGCGGGCCATACGAACAGCTTGTTTTCGAAATTCGATGCCTTTTCCACACTTCACACTAGAAAGGGCATCAGGTGACGCTTCAATGGCTGCCAAGTCACTGCGGCATCATAGGGAACGAACATGCCGATACTGCCGCGCGGGCAGCCCTTGAAGGAACACGAGAAGAAGCCATACCACTTTCGCGGACCGATGCTGCCAGTAATCTTCGACGACTTGCGCGTAAAATAACGTTTTCACTATGGTGTCCACGAAGCATCGATACGAATCGTCAACACCACCTGTCCTCTTTGATAGCTCTCCGCATGCCCACTGGACTCGACCGAAGAGAAGCCACCCTTCTTCATCGCTTATGGCTAGGAGTGGCATTTACAAAATCTTATTCCTTTGTCATAGGAATGGCCGACAACGCTCTCTGCGATGCCTGTCATTGCGAAGAGACGCTACACCACATCCTGTGTGACTGTCCGTTGTATGAAATCCAGAGACAGTCACTGGCGTCCGCTTTTGCGCGCATCGACAACAGCCAAATGTCTGTGGACACTATTCTGTCAAGTGCCCGAGAGAAGACATTGCAACAGAAGGCGACGAAAGCTCTGTTGAAATTTCTACGCGACACGGACTTGAACAAGCGACTGTAATAGCAATGTCACACACCGCGAAAGACAAGACTGGGCTATGACTGAGTGTGCGCGCGTGTGCTGCTGAATGTGCTGTGTTTCTCCCTTCCCTCTCTGCTCACTATCTTTCATCTCCCCCATCCCTCTCCCATGCGCAGGGTAGCAAACCGGCTGCCTATAGGCTGATTAACCTCCCTGCCGTTCTTTTCCCCCTATTTTCCTTCCTTCCTTCGATGTAGACACTAATAACATTCAGTACTATCTGCACCCACTACCCATGATTAACTTCGTGGAGATGCGTAGATTTACATGATGTGAGTCTAAATAGAACGTCTGAGTGCGCGCACTACAAGACGGCGATTGTTGCAGCTGGTCACCTTTTCCTCAAGAGATAGAAAGAAATATTTTAATCAATAGCTGGAGATGTTAGCCCGGCTTTTCACCTGTTACTCCAGGTGCTGGGTGATCGTTACGACATAAATACTGATAATCACATTACAGGCACACTTTATACATACAATGCAACCGAATGCATGTAAGATTTATCAAGGTTGCTTGTTACTTCAGCTTACTGAATTTCATTCTATTGTTCTTGCTCTACAGAACGCTGGCGCCGTAACGCGACTTATTAGACACGATCACAATTGTGGAGGCGTGCCCCCACGCCACGCCCGCCACCAATCAGAGCGGTATCGCTTCCGTCGGGGAAGGAAAAGGCGCGAAGGGGTTTCGCACGTTCTGCGTCAAGTCAGGCTTGACCCGTTTTCTCGGTAGAGGAAGGACTTAACAAGTTTGCTTTCGTTGTTTAACCGCGTTTTTCGGTTCGCCTTCATGATGAGTTGAATCGATGGCTATTTCATTCGGCGAGCGGGTACACGATGATCTCTCGCCCCTGCACTTCTTCGAATACTTTGCTTTCGTTCGTGATTACGCCAATGGTTTTGTACATTTTCGCGTTACCCCAGCTATCACACTAACTGAAGCAAGCGCAAGCATGTAACAAAAAACTAGATCAGGTATCCATTATCGGGCGCTGAGCGTCGGAATCAGTGAATGTTTCTGTGGCTGAATGCGTAGCTGTACCACGTCATACGCTCTAGCGTGAAGGTGCGATATGCGTTCTAGTAATATTTTTTACTAATGAAAAATGGTAGGTGTAACCTTAAGAAACAAGAAGAGAGCAGAGTGGATTAGGGAACAAACGGAGGTTAAGGATATCATAGCTGAAATCAAGAAGAAGAAATGGACATGGGCAGGGCATGTAGCGCGTAGACAGGATAACCGCTGGTCATTAAGGGTAACTGACTGGATTCCCAGAGAAGGGAAGCGGGTTAGGGGGAGACAGAAGGTTAGGTGGGCAGATGAGATTAAGAAGTTTGCGGGTATAAATTGGCAGCAGCAAGCACAGGACCGGGTTAATTGGCGGAACATGGGAGAGGCCTTTGTCCTGCAGTGGACGTAGTCAGGCTGATGATGATGATGATGAATATTTTTTAGGCTGTGTAACAAATTTATTTTGGCCGGTATACAGAGTCGTGATCACTTCTCCACTTCTTTCTCCTCGCAGGTTTTCTGCTTGCCACGACGATGCCAACAACATCGAATGACAACATGAAAGTATAGGGTTCTGGACACTATAGTAACCACTCTAAGTTCATGTGCCGCGCAATTTCGTCTCTGTATTTCGCCATGTATGCTTCTGTAGAGTAACAAGAGGTTCTGGTCGGCCAAGAATACGAAGCAACTGTTCAGCGACTTTGTTCAGCCAAATAGTCTAGATTGAACAATTTCAATTTATTCCAGCAAAAAAAAAAGGCGTAATCCTACTTGCACCTACTGTCTATCCTTCCAAAGTATACTCGTATAACTGCTCTGGCGGCTGCGACTGACACCAGTACAACTTTTGTGTCCGATTCAACCAACAGCCCTCCGGCATGCCAGGCACAATTCAGTCTAAATTATATCAAATGGACTTGATGAATCTTATCGGGCCATCATCATTATGTCCGCCAATCAAGCGTTGAACCCTTCACAGCTAGTTCCGGACAACCAGCCGCACTCATCAGGCGACAACTGCGAAATTTTGCTGAACTAGTTTTTACAATGTAGGATTTCTAAAAGAAACTCGCACAACGATCTACGGTTCAAGGACTCTAAGCTCTGTAACTCGATCCAAACCATCCGCCACACTCGCGTCTCAACGACCATAAAAGATTTGTGGCTCCGATTTTACCAACTAGACCTCCAGAAAAAATCCCCACGTCAAAAGGCCAATGATCAAGACCAATTGTCAAGGGCCCGATGATGCATAACGCATTCCGACCATCACTGTTTCGTAATAAACAGGAAAACGTATATTGACGTAGCGCGGCAAACAGTGCTATAATCGTCCGTGAATTCGTCCTACATTCTACACTTCGATACAAGCCGTTACTAATGCCTCCCGGTCACGAGCCTAACTCTTCGTCGGGCGTCGCCACCTCGGCCATTGACGACGAGGACGTCCCCGAGGACTACGACTACGAGGAGTCGGCGTGGCGCTTCGACCTGGCCGACCTGGTGCCCACGGCGGCCGTGTACGGGGCCACCCTGCTGCTGGGGCTGGTGGGCAACCTGCTCATCGTGTACACGGTGGCCCGGTTTCCGCGCATGCGCTCCATCTCGAACCTGTTCCTGGCGTCGCTCGCCTCGGCCGACCTGCTCATCGTGCTGCTCTGTGTTCCCGTCAAGTTCGGCCAGCTCTTCTCGTACACCTGGACGCTGGGCGAGGTGGGCTGCAAGCTGCTCCTCTACGTCCAGCACGTCTCCATGATCTGCTCGGTGCTCAACCTCACCTTCCTCAGCATCGAGAGGCGAGTAGTGTGGTTGCTACTTATAACTCACGTGTTTCCTTATGCATTCGACCAACATGACTCGAAGGCGAAATCCTCCTCCTCCTCCTCCTCCTCCTCCTCCTCCTCCTCCTCCTCCTCCTTCTTCTTCTTCTTCTTCTTCTTCTTCTTCTTCTTCTTCTTCTTCTTCTTCTTCTTCTTCTTCTTCTTCTTCTTCTTCTTCTTCTTCTTCTTCTTCTTCTTCTTCTTCTTCTTCTTCTTCTTCTTCTTCTCAGTCGATTGTATTGATCTCCCGGAAAGCTTTCTGCACCTAGCGTCCTATTGAAGTGACTCCAGTAACGCAGGCTTTGAAAGCTTTAAAGGTGAAGGCATTTAATGTCGCATATTCGCGCATCTGACCTCCATCCGTCCGTGCACTGTAACGGTGCCAGCTCTGGCATCTCCCCCTCACACTCTCTCAGCAATCACGGGATTTCTGAGAGAGCATAAAAAAGCGAAAAAAGAAAGACATGGCATTGTCAGTCGAGTGGCCACAGGCTTCTGCCAAACATACCTTGAAATTTATAAAGTGTCCTTCGATTATTTTTTTTTGCACGCAACGGGATTCAGCGAACTTTTTACGAAGCGGGGCTTTCATGTGATCACCTCATCATGCGATGCCAGTGATGTGACTCATTGTGACGTCATTCAGTAGTATGTGAGGTCGTGACGACGTCACTCGTGCTTAGGCCGACCCCGCCGACGGTCAATTTTTGCGTTTTATGACGCATGTAAGGCTTTTTTTCTCATTAATGAAAGATCTTGATGACAATAATTTAATAGGTGTCGTACAAATTCACGCCACAAGCGACAGTTAATCCTAAGTAGCGGCCACAAAAAATTTAAGTATATGCTTTCGTGTACATCAAGTGCCGGATTAAATTTGAGGAGCCGCAAGAACGTCAAGGGACACACGTATACATGGGAGACTCAATATGTGAGACGCCACTTGTAGAGAATGAGTGAAAATGATTAAACCTCCAGAGTTTACGACATTCCGTTTAAACGCTCTCTCGCAAACATCACACTGGGTTGTGGTCGTCGCGAAGTTGATAAGGAAGGTTTAATCTCCGTTAAACAAAGAAAAAAAGCATATCGTGCTCAACAAGCGCATTTAATAGAATAAAGAAAAAGTAAGCCTACCAACACAAACTATTCTCGTTTTTTTTTTTTTTCCTAAATAGATGCATTGCAAGAACGAACATTTATCGTGCGCTTTCGCATAGATCGAAGCTCTCGATCTAAAGAAGTGATGTCCTGTCTCGTGCGCTTCTTCACATGCTGGGCATAACGATATATTGCTTATTCCTCCCCAGATACTACGCGGTGATCCATCCTGTTCGCTCTCGCTACCTCTGCACCTTCAGCCAAGCTCGTCGAGTCATCATGTTCATCTGGCTGACCGCATTTTTAAGCGCGCTACCCATCATCTTTGTTCAGGTATGGCTGGTACGGCACGCCTCGTAGAAGCGTAGTTGCACGTACAAATCAATCAATCAATCAATCAATAATGAGGCGACGAATTAGGCAACCCTCAAGAAAAAAAGTGTTATGTGAAGTGCCTTTGTGTAGCTTTGTGTTTCTTTCCTAATTTGCAATACCAACTATTGTGTAAGGGCAAAGAAATAGCCGGCGACATGCATTCACAGAACTCTCCTTTATACGTCCAATTAATAAATAATCCGGTAAAATCTCAAAGCGACTTGCAAAAAGAAAATGTATACGGCTAAAGTTGGCTTTCTAGTGCTGCTTACACATTGTGGAACAGTCTTCCTGTTCGAATAAAAAAAATCTGTCTTTCTCTTTTACTCCCTTATTTCCCTTTCCACACGTGTGTTTAGAGAAATTTATTCTCAACAACGGTGAACATCAATTCGAATCCAACAGAACATCACGACGGAACACAACATGCACAGACACACCGAAAATTGCTACACAAAGTTATGTTTACACGTGGACAATACATGTGTAGGGTAGCAAACTGGACGCACATTAGTTAACCTCCTTACCGTTCTTATATTTTTTCTCTTTCCTCTCACTCTCATCTTTATGCCCCCTTCCCATTTCCCCAGCGTAGGGTAGCAAACCGGGCATGTGCCTGGATAACCTCCCTGCCTTCCCTCTTGTTGTGTATCCCTCCTCCTCCTCCTTCTCTCGCTCTGTTAACTTGGAACACTATTACAAAAACCGATAGTCAGGCTTAAATATAACTCCTCTCAGTTGTCAGCTACATGTAAAAACAAAGTAATTATCTCGAAATAGCTGTTTAATAGATGTGAACCTCCATAACATTTTAAAGATCTTCCTGGTAAACTGAAACACTGCTACAAAGACTCGCAATAATGTTCAAAAAATGTCATTTTAATACTTTGTCAGCTACCTGCTTAAACACCAGAATTTGTGTTAAAATAACTATTTTGTAGATGTAAAGTCTCCGTAATTTTTTACGTATAAATTTTAAGTTCGGGTGGATGATGAGGATTGAGACACTGCTAATGTATTTATCAATTTGTGCGTCTTCTTTGCGCACTCAGTTCAGTTAAATTTATCGATCAAATATTAATAGGTTGTAATCCACACGTCCCTTGTGTCATCTGCCTTGCGTCGGATTTAGCGCATATAATATAGTCAACGCCTTCTCGCAGTCGGCTCAATCCAAATAATGGCGACAAATTTTCCAAAAAATTCTGACGTTCACGTTATTTTATTCATTGGATATGCGAATTACTTGAAGGAACGCAGCATACCAAGTTAAGTTCTAGGGAAAATAAACTCCAATTTAATAAATTAAAAACTTCGCCGCAAGTTTGTTCAGCCGAGTATATCCACGTATGTGCAAAAAAATTCCTGCCTGGCTTGTGGCGTAAAAACAACAAAAAAAACAGTTACAGTTCAAGTGATTGTATGTTGAAACTATATGTATACCGCAATGTAGCACGATGGACCACTGATGAATATATGCAGTAGTAATTACTAAGTTAGACGAGTTCCCCATTGAAAACTCTAGTATTACTAAACGTCCATTAAAATGCTGAAGTTACACTTTATTTACGTAAATACGTATATCCGAAACACGGGAAAACACAGAACGGCCTCTTCACCGTGACTGCCTTATAAGGGTAGAAAACACCTGCCGTTATTGCCATCTTGCCGTTGCCACTTTCATAACTTTCTGTACGTGTGCACATATCTTTATCTTCCGGTGACGTATAGGTTCACGTGGAGATGGGCCTTCGTCGCCGCGCCTACTGGTGCATGCGCGACGAGGCCAGTCCCGGAGCCTGGCGCTCCTTCGAGATCTACATGCTCATCCTGGTGCTCTGCATACCCACCCTGGTCATGGGCTACGCCTACACCAAGATCTGCGTCCAGCTCTGGATGGTCGTGCGGGAGCGGGCGCATCTCACGTCTGGCTTGTGAGTACACCTCCCTATCCCCCGCTATCACGGGTCGTCGCGGCAAAACTGCAAGTTCAGGTGGTGGTGGTAGTGGTTGCAAGTAAGAGGAAAAAGGCACCTAATTTCTGTCTGCCTTCAGGCGACACGGCGCAGTACCTTATAGGGGTGGCGAGAAGGAGGGATAAAAAGAAAGAAGGAAAATAGATGAAGAAATAGAGAGGCAAGCGACGGAAAAAAGAAGGAGATAGGAAAAGTGGGGATCCGGTCGAAGCAGTCCAAGGGCGGGGCGCCACAATGCGAGAGCTGCACGGCGTCAGGAGACCGCGGAGAGCGAACCAGTCGGCGGGCCAACTTGAATTCCTGCGAGCAAATCCAAGTTTAGGAGATGTGTCTCGCTCGTACAGTCGGGAATTAGACGAGAGAGAGAACGAGAGAGAGTACTTGAGGAAAGAAAGAAACGCAACTACTGCCGCCCCGTGTAGTTAGACGAAACCGGAAGATCTCAGAAGGGACATGCCATTGCCAAAAAGAGTTGCTCTCGGCTTTACGGTTCACACTGTCGAGGAATACATTGAGCCGGCGGTAAGGTGTTACAACTGCCAGAGATATGGGCATAAGGCTAAGACTTGCAGGGGAACCAAGAGATGCAAGGTATGTGCGGGTGCACATGATTACAAAGAATGCACCTCGAAGCGTCAACCTAAGTGTGCCAACTGTGCTGGACCACATCCGGCGTCGTTCGCAGGCTGCTCTCGAAACCGTTTGGCATCAGCGGCACAAAGAGAGAGAATTGTAAAAGGGTACCATAAGATACAAAGAGGTCCAGCACTCAATGCGGATATAGTCGAAGATGTTCCTGCGGCACAAAGAAGTGCAAAACAGTGGAGCCACGACTCTTACTCGGAAGTATTGAAGCGCTCAGCACCAAAACATCGCGTTGGCAAAGAAGTCCGGGCCCAGGAACATGCTGAAGTGGAACTTTCTGCCGGGCCAGACACAGCCAAGGAGCCACTGACTACCAAAGGGAAGGGTCACAGCAGCTTGCTGAGGAAAACTTCTTCAAGAAATGCGATCTTGGCGGAGACAGCCGGAAACGAGCAAGTCATTTTGCCAATAATCTTTGCGGCTCTCAAAGCAATTCTACGATCCCTGCCACTAGCAGGTTCTTTACCAGAAGTGAAATTGCTGCTAGATGTTGAGCATCTTCTCTTGTCGTAATCATGGCTACCGGACTATCTAACTGGTACAAAAGAAGTGCAATATTCCAGTGGAACTGCAACGGTTTGCAGAATAAGAGTGGAGATTTTCGGAAATTCGTCGCTCAGCACGGGTTTCCGATTTTGTGTATTTCCGAAACAAGAGTATCCACTAACTTTCGCTTGTCCAATTATGTGGTGTACCAAGCAGACCGTCCTGCTGCAAAAAGTAGAGTGATGTTGTGTGTGAGACGCGATATTTCGTCGACACTTGTGGCTACTTCAAAAACAGATGCGCCGGAATTTGTTAGATGCAAAGTGAAGTTTGGTAACGTTACTGTAACTGTAGTTAGTGTTTACGTGCACCCTCAAGCAAACGTTTCATACGCAGAGTTGGCTGCAGTGTGTAGATCTGACCATGATCCCATAATTATATGTGGTGATTTTAACGCGCACCATGAATTGTGGGGTAGTGAGCGTTGTAGTGTAAGGGGATCTGCTATAGTAAAAATATGCGAAGATTATGGTTACACTATACTAAATGATGGTTCTCCAACGTTTCTACGGGGGCATAACTACTGCAGCGTACTAGACATTACCGTGTGCTCCTCTGAATTAGCGGCTGGAGCAGACTGGACTGTAGACGCTGACACAAGAGGAAGTGACCACTTGCCAGTATTCATATGTCACCCAAAGTTGAAGAAAACGAGAAATAACCACACAACAAGAATCACAAATTGGGCAATCTTTCGAGAAATACAGAGACAAAATCTTGAACCCTGTTCTGACGCAGAAACGTATGCATCGAAGATAAAAAAAATTTTCTAACAAAAGCAACTCGTACAGTACCCATTCCAGATGGGTATTCCGGTGTTGACGCTGAGTATGAGAGGCTTCGGGCAATACGACGCCGATCTGAACGAAGATATCGCAGGTCGGGTAATTTAGAAGATTTCAAGGCTGCACAGAAAGTACACACTGCAATGCGTAACCAACTGCAGAAGCTTTCAACCAAAAGGTGGCAAGATTTATGTGCCTCACTTTCTCCATTTACCTCGGCGCCTCAACTGTGGAACATGGTACACACCCTCCGACAGCCAGTAGTCCACTCGAGACCACTACAGGCTCTAGCGCTGTCTCGAGCAGTTAGCGAACGTGTGATTGCCGAAGAATTTTGCGATCTTATACTGAGAAATGGAGAGACCGCCCAAACTAGCGAATATAAATCCTCAGCAGAATCAGCTTCGGCGGTTGTAACAAAGTCCTCTGCGATCAGTTCATTAGATCTGGATGACAGCTTCACACCAGGGGAGCTCCAATATGTGTTGTCTTCAGTAAAACGAACAAGTTCACCAGGAACAGATGGAGTTACATACGCTGCTCTTGCTAATTAGTGCAAAAAAGGAAAAAATACACCTGTTCGACATCTATAATAAAAGTTGGCAAGAAGAAAAAGTTCCGGAAAGTTGGAAGATATCAAAAGTAGTACCGTTGCTAAAGCCAGGGAAGAGCCCTATGCAGTTGGACTCGTTTAGGCCGGTTAGTTTGACAAGTTGTTTTTCAAAAGTGATGGAAAAAATGATCAATGAACGAATTTTATGGTGGCAAGACATGAAAAAACTACTACCAGAAAACATAGCCGGCTTCAGAAGAGGTAGATGCACAATGGACTGCATTCTGGATTTGGTCACAGATGTGGAAAACACACGAACGCAAGGAAACATCACTGTCGCTGTATTCCTTGATGTCCACCGAGCATACGACACAGTGGGTCACGTTCACGTTTTGGAAGGCCTGGCGTTACAGGGATTCAAGGGCAAGATACTGCGTTGGATCGCTGACTTCCTGAAGCAACGGAAAATTTTTGTAGTTACGCAGGAGGGCCCAACGTCAGAACATGTCGTCAACCAAGGAGTGCCACAGGGCAGCGTACTAAGCCCTACTCTCTTTAATGCAGTCATGGCACAGCTCCCGTATAATCTTCCACCCAACATCAGATGTTCGGTATATGCTGATGATATAAGTATATGGACGTCTAGTCCATCCTTTTTGTATATACAACAAACTCTACAAGAAGGATTGGATTATGTAGACCATTTTCTAAAAAAAAGAGGTATGGCACTGAGTCTGGCCAAAACAGCCATACTTCCGTTTACATTAAAAAGACCTGGAAATTTCCAGATTATTCTGCAAAATCAGCCTATTAAATAAAATGGTTAAAACTCACAAATTCTTGGGAGTAATTTTAGACCGGAGACTAACATGGTCGCCTCATGTCCAGTCCCTGGAACAAAAAGTGAATCAGGCCATTCGAATCCTCCGGCATCTCTGCAGGGCCAAATGGGGTGGTACTACAGAGTCGTTATTAGCCCTACATGTTGCCTGGATACGCCCCATCGTAACTTACTCACTGCCCCTGCTGCACGGACTCCCAGTCTCCACCGAAAGGAGACTTCACTTGTTATTGGCAAAGAGCTTGAGGGTATGTCTGGGTTTACCACGGTCAACTTCCAGTGCTTTAGTGTATGCGGTGGCTCGAGAGCCACCTTTGGCAGTACTCCGAACTAAAGAAACATCCCGAAATTTATTTAGAATTTTCACGCAACATGAAAGTCATTTTTTATCTGGTGCACTAACACAAAGAACGGCAACGAGACTACAGGATACTATATCATCATTTCAAGCAGTAGTACCAGAATTTAAACAATGGAAACCTTCAAAACCACCTTGGACGCTGCCACTTCTCAACGTTATCCGTGAAATAGATGGCATAGAGAAGAAAGCAGACATGGCACCTCTAGTAGCGGCACAGTTGGTACTTCATCAGCTTCATGTAATGCATAATGAAAAAACGAAGATATATACAGATGGATCATGCACACAAGAAGCGTCAGCCTGTGCGGTCTTTATACCCGAAATTCAGAAAAAGAAGATGTACAAATTATCGCACAAATCTTCATCGACGACAGCAGAATTGGTGGCTATCTTTGAAGCAGTTAAGCTTATCTGCGAGAATCCCGAGCCACGAAAATGGGTGATATGCACTGATAGCAAACCTGCTCTTCAGCTAATCAGAAATGTGAGATCAACTTACAGAAATGGTGAAATAGCACAATGTATCGCAGAAACTGTGGAATATGCCTCATCGCAGGGTCATAACATCGTATTGCAATGGATACCCAGCCACATTGGAATAAAGGGAAATGAAGATGCTGATAGTCTCGCGAAGAAAGCATTGAAAGAAGGACGGGATTGCACAATCCCTATATCTGGGACGGATATTCGACATTTTATATCGCAAGAAGCTAACCATTGTTCGATGGAGAAGTGGTTTGAGAGCCCTAAATCAAAGGAAACGGTACTTTATGAAGTTGATCCACACAGAAAATTTTCCATAGCGACAGACCTTCCACGACACCTAGAGACATTGATCCACCGACTTAGATTGGAAGTAGCATACACAAACAGCTTCCTGCACAAGATACATCGATCCAACTCACCGGAATGCCATTGTGGTCATGCAGAAGAAAATGTTCGCCATATTCTTTTGGAGTGCGTTAAATACGCGAAGGAAAGATAAAAACTAAAGAACAAATTAGCAAGTTTGAACAGACGGCCCCTCACAATAAAGAAACTACTTGGACCATGGCCTGAGATGCATCTTCAGAAAAAGGCAATAATCTTCCTGACAGACTTTTTAGTGGAGACCGGACTGGACAAGCGCATATGACTGACAGCCAGAGATGGGTATTATGTAAAATGTGGTCATGTATATACTGGCATTAGAGTAGTAAGGTGTGCGTGTAAGTAGTTTATGACTGTGTGAACTGCGTGAAGAAAACTGTGTATTGGCATGTTATTTGAACTGGTTTCAGCGTGCTACTATGTGTTTTTTTCCGTATTGTTAATTTTTGGGTACCGTTCAGTATTATTATTTTATTTTTCGCTGCAGAACTTTGTGATATGGAGTAGCCGAGGCAATAGGATCCTCAACCTCTCCACAGCAAAACAGTTAAAACAGAACAGACCAGAACAGAACAGAACTCAGGAAGGCAGTTTTAACCTCCCCGCATTAACACTCTGCGAAACGGAGTCCCCATTTCGAGAAATTGAGACGCAACTTACATTTGCCATTTGCGCGCCGTATTGGCAACAAAGAGGCCACGAACTCTGAGCTAATGGCAAATTAGGCGTTTTTACTGCCTGCAGTTCCTTTACGTCGTTTCTGGTCGAAGTATCATGCTGCGCGTGATCCCTTTGGTAAAGGATTCGCCACGTTTAACAATTCGTTGGACGTAGTGGGCCATTTCGGAAATAATTTCAAAATATCTTTTTACCATTTTCGGAATGCTCGTTGCTCGCAGATAACTATCGCACCTAATTTGAGTGTGTCATTGAATTTATTTTACGAAGGCATGTCACATCACTGATTGCACAATACCGCTGTTATTAGAATAACTAGCTGTAATATACGCTAATTTATTCCAAACCTTTCTCGTATTTTAATTTCATCTCCCAGATCCCTGGCACCTAATTACGTTGTTTTGATCTGTTAATAGACAGCCGACGAAAACACGTGCCTCAAGGGTTGAACGTGTTCGAAGGCTTTCCGATGGTTAATGGAATGATGCCTTCACCCACAAGCTGCTTTTTTACCTCTCCTACTTTAGCGACCTCTCTTGTGAGGCTCACGGTACGGCATTATGCCCTCCCATAATAGAGTACAAAGTACTCTGAATCGTTAACAGTTTTTTCTAGACACACAAGTTTATTAGTCCGTGTATTTAGAAGATGAGTAACATAAATATCGTCGAAGATGAATACTCACAGGGGCCTGGGTCACGTCAAAGGGGCCCGCCAACATTGTTTCAGCATGGTCAGAAAACGCTGCCGATCGGTAGTCGAGTCTCCCGAGAACACGCGAGACGAATAGCACAGCACTCGGCTTAAAATTCACCATAAATTGTGAAAGTCAGCTAAAAATTGTCTTCTCTTTCTTCGACAAATGACGATACAAGCTCAAAAGTCACCCATTATAGCCATTTGATCAGCCATTGATTGATTTGAGCATGGCGTGCTTGGTCATTACTCAGGCCACCGCGAGAGGCCGCGACTTGTCCCAGTGGGCGCGCGCGATCGACTTAAAAGCCGCGTTACAGCCGCGTATTCTAAGAGGAAAAAAAGTGCTCAAGGTCACGAGGCACGCGTGACGTATTTTGTCCTCGTGCCGTCTCTCCCTGCTTAGCTCACAGCGCTTTCGTCGGGACAAGGGAAGAGAAAATGCAATTGCAGCGTCCAATAAACCTTTGTAATCCGCTCGTACTGGGTGGATTCTAAAAATTCTTGTGGCGGTGAATTTGTGAGGCAGTAAGTTCTTTTTGTGAATCCATGGCTACTTGATAAAGTGTTGCAGGAGCCCTTTAAATGTTTAAGTCTGTTTACTTTTTAAAACATATCCACGGTTTCATTTGTCCCTGCTTTTACGGAAGATAACGAAGTGTTAATCAATGAGCGACTTCAATCCATGGCCTCCGTGATTGGCTCCGGCAGCACAGCGCACTGATGGAGCTCGTCGCGGAGGCTACGCTGGATCGATGCAAAGTCTTTATGCAAAATGACTTACTTTGGCATTCTGTGCACCTCGTGTCAAAGTGTTTCCGGGAATCGGATTCTTTTACGCGAATCTTTATGTATTAAGGCCATGTTGGTACAAAGTGACGTCTTATGGGTTGTCGCCTTTCCTTGCGCAGGGCTTGTACGGAGATGTTGGAGAAGACTTCTGGAGCCAACGACTGTTTCGGGGCCAACGGCAACAAAAGGATCCTCGGAAAGCCGTCGCGAGCCGACGAAGACACCGTGAAGCAGGTAAACGAGCACCACGAGTGAACCTGTACCTCCGCGTTCCGGCCACCATACGCAAGCGAAAAGCTGTAAAATTATAACGTCTATTGCATACAGGTATGGCTTGGGCTGAAAAGTTTTTCTTGTATGTCGTGGTGGAATTAACATTTTTTTTAACGGGGATGGCTTGGTGCGTACACTTCATCGCCACCTATCCGGATTACATAAAAATATAAATACAACGTGTCGTCTTGGTGGTCATAACTGTCAACGTAGATATTTGTTGTCTTTTATTAATCGATGTCTTCACTGAGCAGCATCAAGAGCGAAAGTTCACATACTTTCGATGCTGCATCAGCGAGAGTACTTACCACTTCTGTAAACTAGTAAATGTTAGCCTTGTACAAGCTACCTAGATACAATAGAGTAGAAGCAGTAATGGGAGCCAACGTAGCAGACGAGTAAGTGAGTAAGTGAGTGAGTGAGTGAGTGAGTGAGTGAGTGATCGCGTGAGTGAGTGAACGAGTCTGAAGTTTCACAAGAACACATATGGTACGGGATAATCATTGCGCATTAATGTGCACACTGCTACCGGAATAAGTTAAGAGAAACAAGAAGGTGTTTCTGTTCTGATAGAGGAACATTCATCACTTTTCAATGCCATCTTGCTTCTTTCGGCCCTTTAAACTTTCTATTACAATGGCATGAGCGAGTAAGTAAGCGTAAGCCAATTTAAAGCTAGCATTACTCTATACAACACTTCGACACGTGCTAGTTTGTACAAGATTCTAATATAGTTGCGATGAAGGAACGGCACGAAGAATAAGCGGTGAAGAGAACAGTACAAGCGCTACTTGCCCTGCTATCCTTTGCTGTCAGTCTTTAGTGCCTTTCGCTCAGCGCAACTACCATAGAATACCATTATTCATATAATGAAATGATTCATTTGACGCGAAAAAAAATGACTATCCACACTCTCCTCCAACTTCTGTATATCCCCACAGGTGATCAAGATGCTCATCCTGGTCGTCTGCCTCTTCGTGCTCTGCTGGGCGCCCATCCTGATCCTGAACGTGCTCACGGCGTTCGGCGGCGTCGCGACGCTCAACTACTCCTACCTGAAGCCACTGCGCACCTGCTTCCACCTGCTGTCCTACCTCAACAGCTGCGTCAACCCGCTCGTGTACGGGTTCATGTCGCGCTCCTTCAGAGTCTCCTTCAGGGACGCCCTGTTCGGCTGCCTACGCCAGCGCAGCGCGCCTCAACGCGGAACCACGTTTCGCACGAGCAGGACTCACACGTCCAGCGTCAGCCTGGGACGCTCGGGGACCTCCGTCACATGACGCCAGCCGCCGCAGCCCTGCGTGCGATGCATCCGCTGGTCGACGAGCTGCGGTCCAGCTCTCGACATGACCACGACGTCGAGTGCCGAAGGCTGACCGGTGACTGTTCCAGCCCGGAGAATCACCGTTCGAAGGGAAAAAGGGGTCTGCGTGACGTCTACACGCTGCGACATAACGTGGTTTCGCTCTTCATGTTCCCGTGGCATCAAGTCCACCAACTTGGACCAACTTGGTCAAGTCGACCAATTTGGTCTGCGGTTGTCCACCGCAGATCAAATTCCTCCAGTCTAATCAAGTACAAGCGTCCCGTTTGCTTACATGAGGACCACAGTGAAGAGGAATATATGTGTGACGTCTGGAGAAACGATATTCAGCGCAAGAAAGGCAGACACAAAAGGAGACAAGAGAGTGACGAGACCAGCAGGTCCAAATCACAAGTAATTTACTGCAACTGGGCGTGCAGTGAATACAATCACCAGACTGTTACATCACTCGTAGACTGCAAACCGAAGGGTTAAATGTGTTAGATCAATAGGCGTGGCAACTATTTAGTTATTCGCCCACACTACGAATCTAGCTTCCAGAAGTCCTAATCGTCCTACGTTCTCCAAGTGTAGCAGGGACTCCGGAAACCGATTGTATGAACCAGACACGATGCCGCTGAGAGCGATGTGTTCCGACTGCGCTACCATCTCTGGAGTAATAAACCGATCCAAACTCCACCTCGCGTCAACAGTCGAAAGAATGCGATTCGACTTGATCAAATATGCTACTTTCGTCAATGCAGGCGCATTCGTACTACCTTAAGTGTCATCACTTGAAGGACTGCAATTCGTTTCGAATGCAAAATTTCCCACATAAAGCGTTATTTCAGAAGGTCACATACAAATATCCCGTAAGACCCAATGTAAAGAACACATAACCACCAACTGTACTAACTTCGACGGTGACGTCATCGCAATGCAGAGAGTTTTTGCCACACGCAAGGTTCTCCCGGAGAAGTCTGTATGAGAACACGTGACCTTAGTACAGGAGGAAAGGAATACGTGGAATCGAGCGGCTGCTGGACATCGCGACTGCAAAAGGTTGACGTTGTGGTAGAACTAAGCCATGTATTGACTGATAAAATCGTTTCTCTTGTTGGGTCTAACGAAGACACGAACGCCATCCTTCAGTGATGTCGCGTCAATGTTACATTCCGCGATTACCGAAAGGTGTTGATTGATTGATTGATTTGTGGGGTTTAACGTCCCAAAACCACCATATGATTATGAGAGACGCCCTAGTGGAGGGCTCCGGAAATTTTGACCACCTGGGGTTCTTTAACGTGCACCCAAATCTGAGCACACGGGCCTACAACATTTCCGCCTCCATCGGAAATGCAGCCGCCGCAGCCGGGATTCGAACCCGCGACCTGCGGGTCAGCAGCCGAGTACCTTAGCCACTAGACCACCACGGCGGGGCTTACCGAAAGGTGTGAACACCATAAGGACATGTAATTTCGAAATCTAGCCAGTAAAAACAGTTCTTCCGAGACTTCTGGGCGCATGCGTGGGATAACTGGGATAAAAGTGTGTGCGTATCGAAAATTGTGATAAGGCGTTCACCCCAACTTTAAGCTTCGGCCACAACCATCTGATTTCTGACAGCTTTTGGATCTGATAGTCGCGTCAAGAAGCTGCAAATTAAGGATATCCTAACTTCAGAAGCTTAAAGATACAGAAAAACAAGAGCTTTGCATATTGCATATAGCGATAACCATGACAACAACGACATTTAGATTTACGTTGAAAATACTGGTTCACTGTTGGGGTTCACACAGAAAATAAATACCACGATAACGCCTTCGGCCACGCGACGTCTAGTACTTGTGTGCTGCCACTCGAGCTGCGACCCATCTACCTGTAGATTCCCAACTGTCTCACTTCAAGACTGAATCTTATTGCAATGCACATTTCAGTAGTAGGAGACCTGAATTCATCAATGCAGTGTCAACCGCGAATGGTGCTATACAGAGCAATGAAGAGTTAAAGAAAAAGTTCGATCTAGTTGTACGTTGAGCTCCAGCTCTGACATGAACTGCGATATTGACTGTGACGTAGACAGTGGAGTGGCTGTGACGTAGACTGCGATGTGCACACAGTGCACCGATATGTCGTGTCTTCGTGGCGTCTACAGTGTGTCGCGCTTTGAGAACGTGCGGGAGCAGCAACGCACGGACGCCGCACTAAGTACTGTGCAGCGTAATATACCGTCGCATTCTATGTAAGAAGGGTATCGTGTGTGGTTACACCCAGGAGCTATGTATTAGAGGATACAGTTTTAGCAAATCTTTTATCTAAGTGAGTTATTTCATATCATTTGGAAGGCACAGCACGACTGAGGGGATCCGTGAGTCTTGTGCTCTTCATCTCTCGCCTCGGCCCTGTTGGGCCGTGCTATTGAGAGTTCTGGCTTTCTGTTGTGCGGAGGTATTGAAGAGTTACGTCGAGGACACTGTGCACCATTGCTTCGATCCATCTATTATAATGACATTTTATTGTTTCAAGCAGTGATAAAATCACAACACGGGGCTCTGTCAAAGCTGTGAACCTGTCACAAGTTTATACCGCCTGCAGTGCCGAAACAAACCTAGTCAAACCTCTGCACGCCATAAGCTTGATGAAAAACAACAGACAAGAAGCGAAGGATAGCATGAGGGACAATATTTTTAGTGCTCTAACTGAACTGCAGTAATTGTGATATAAATGTGAAGACATTAAAGTGGCTGAAACAACTCGCCACTGGTAAGAGACCAAACATGCAAACTTTAAATTAATACTAATAACATAAATTCTCTGGACGGAGAATTCATGTTATTAGTATTAAAGTTCACCCACCCGGGCAGATATCTGTCGAAGATGTTCACCTTTGAACTTCGAAATACTCGCCCGACGCTCTACCAATTGACCGATAGCGGCGGTCACCAATAACGCACTTCACTGTCCAATGTCTGCCGACCGTATGGGAAACCTCGTGACTCTTCTTCGGCGCTAAAAACCGCTGGATGCACAAGTTTAAAGGGACACAAAAAGGTCACCATTAAGTCAACATTTATTGTTGAAATAGTGGTTCAGAAATCTTGTAGTGTTACTTTTGTGCAAAAGAAGTGCTTATGTTGAAATAAAATCCCGTTTTAGTGGTCCGCATTGGGTTAGCGCACTTCAAATTACCCGCCGCAAGAAGCCGACCGTGTAACGTCACTGTTGCCGTGCACAACGTTACCCGGCTTTACTGCGCGACCACCGACACTAGTAGCAGCAGAACAAGAGCAGCGGAGTCACAGCAGCAACAACGGCCATTGATCAATTTCATGCCATTGGCTCCGAGATGAAAGACCTGTTATGCTTCAACTGGGCCCCATCAGGTGGCACGACCTGTCCAATTTGATCCCGCGAAAAGTGAACGTATGAAACACTCACGCCACCGTCCATAGTAACGTCCGGCGTTTCTTTTTTCCATGAATCAAACAGAAACGAACAATTAGCATTTTATTGCGCCTTGTCAAGAACAGAAGGTTCTTTATATAGTGCAGCAGAATCGATTACTTGTGATTGATTACCGAAACCGAAACAATACCTACACACAAAAAAACGAAAGAATTTTTGTAAAGAAAACGACTTTACCTGCATATCGATAAAACGACAGCCCGATATATGATCACCTGTGCCATCCAGCTGTGCATCGGTGCGTCTGTCCACCTGTCCGTTTATCCGTCCGTTCGGCCGCCCATCCATCTGTCAGTCCATCTGTCCATCATTTATACTAGTCGGCGACTTCAACACAATATGGTGTTTAGGATGTAGCTTCGCCCATTCGTCATCTTTGAGTTCGTGGAGATGCGTGTTTTTTTCCCTTTTCCATCTCTTAGTTTGCATTTCACCAACGTCATATCCAAGACGGAAATGCGTCCGCGAAGCATTGTTGGACCACTACATGAATTACTTTCATGTAATAGCAGTGTGTAGAAAGCAAACCATAAAACAAAAAATAGATAACTGCAGAAAAAAACTATAAAAAATAACGGGAAATAACGCGAAATATCACATAATTAGACGAAGAGAACAGAAAAGAGCAGAAATGTGTACATAAACACCAGAAACGATCACAAAAAAAAACGGTTGAAGATAAGAAGCACAAAATAATGACAAGAAACACGGGCGAATCGATGCTTCGCAGTTTGTATAGCTTTCGGTATGGCTGAAGCAAGCTTCGATTTATTTTTTCCCCCTTAACAATAGCTCTCACCTGACTTTCATCTGTTTCCCTGTTCGAAATCTCGTCACTAGCACTGCACATTATCATGAATGGATGGCAGGAAAATAGAAAAAATACTGGGCGCGTGTTACAAAGACTAGAAAAAGCATGCGAGACTATTAACAAAAAAAATCCGCGCATCTCCCAGAAGGGAATCAAGACGAGTGGAGGAAGCCCCGGCTATCGTATCGGTGAATAACCGTACGTTATCCGATCATTGCCGCATTAAATATAAATGGAGTTACATAAAGCGACAAACTGACCTTAGGAGTCGACGTCAAAGCCAGGTCCTAAGGTCCGTAATGTCCACGTTGAAGTCTCCGACTAGAATGAAAGGTTTGTATTTGTAGGTGTTTTATACTGTTCAGTTGCAATTATCATTGAAATTATGGCATATTGCTAAAGTTTCCTTTGTGTGTATCACATTACTGGGCGTTACTGGAGCTTTACCCCATATAATATTGTGGCGGTTACGCGTAAGCAGATCACCGAGACGTTGAGTCCGAGAACCGACGGTGTGTGTTTTTATGCAGGAGCCAAGAGCAAGAGACCTAAACAAAAGCACGTCGTCTTCTTCAGTGACCACTTTCTCGAGACTGTTGGCGCGCACATCGCCTTCGTCCTCTGTTTCAAGCGCGGCATTTGCCTCCCATTAAAAGGGCATCGCCCATATGCTATAGCTGAGTCAGTGACTTGCACATAAAGTCACTTTGTACAAGCGATGGTGCCTCACAGAGTCACTCGCTGACGTATGGCTTAATGTGCACTACGTGGACAAGTTCAGGTCGGTGCTGGCGACGCCTTGTACAGTTTGGGCTATCCGGGA